AAAATAGCATTTAACCATCAGCCTGTGTGGGTGTTCTCCATTCCAACCCAACTAAAGTGGGACCTGGTAATTGTAGAGGAGAGAAAATGAGTGGAGTATTTTCTAAAGCAAGCAGCATATTTTCCATTATGTAAAGGAGAAAAATTAGCTTTCAGAAAACCACACTTAGGAGTTATGGATTGTTCTCTTGGCTTCTTTCATAACTAGATGGGAGATTTAGGGAAGCAGAGGTACTTGTTCTTTAGAAGGTCCATCAACCTGTGCCCAATTTTCCTGCAGATCCTACAGACCATTCAGGGAGACTTTGCATGTAAGCCTGGAAAAGCAGTAGTAGCAGGCTGACCTCAAGGGATGGGCTGGGGCTAGCCTCACTGTCCTAGTAAGAGAAGGGCTGGATTGAGGTAGCATAGGGCAACAGGGATGTATTGCCCTTTGTTTCTCTGTAGGGGAAACACATTCATGCATTAAAAGTCACTAAGTCAGACATGATCACAGAGCTACTTCCTCTTTCCCTGGGTTCGCCTTTTCTTTCCTGCATAGCCCTGTGACAGTACTAACTGTCATTATTGTTTCATTTCTTTGCTTGTTTACTAGCCGTCTCCCACAGGGAAGGGGCTGACATCAGTCTCGGGCTCCAGAGCCTGGTGCAGCTCTCTGTGTATTGAAAGCGGCCAGAGCCAGGGACAGCGTGGTGGCATGACGTCTTCATCAGGGCATGACCCTTTCATGTAGAGTACAAGCTGCCCATGGGCCTTCTCCCCAGTGGCTCTTTGGGGTTCAGCCCCGATGGGACGGGCTGGATGACCTCCATCACCCACTGGAAGGACATATATGTGGCAGTGGCATAGATTGCTCATCGGTAAAGCCCCCCGGTCCCAGGATCCCTGGTCATCTGGAGAGATATCCCTTCGTGACCCTGTCCCACACAGGGTATCTGAGCCCCTACCCTTTGTCCATGGCTGAGAAGCAGCAGGTCATTGTCAGGTCGTGGGTCAGTTTGTCGTGGGCAAGGGAGATAGTGGATGGCAGGGGGTCTGCAGAGTTTCTTCTGTTTCTGCCTTCTCGTCTCCAATGTACAGCAGCGTATGCTTGACCTTCTCTGGAGGTCTTCTTGTCCATTGAGACCTTCATCTCCTCTCTTCTGTTCTAATGGACACAATTTTCTTTGTCTAGTGCCTCAGAGGAATAAACCAGCCAGGCAAGCAGATCTCCTTTGAAGCTTAGAATCTCATTCTACTTCAGCATGAGTACAAGTGAGGGGGAAGATGGGAGGGCAAGATGGACGAGAACAACCCCATGACTGCTAGCCATATTAGGGTCTCCGCATTATACCTCACTCTCTCTGGGAGTTTGGAAGCCTCCGAATGTGAACTGACATACTGCTCTGCAGTGGATTATTTGCTGTTTGGTGTTGCAGGAATGCTCGATTCAAACACTGTCTAAGCACCCACTGAGTTCCAGGCTCTGCCAACCTCTGTAGGCTAGGTGCATGTTAGCTTTTCTCTCCTTTAAAGTTGGAAGGATGTTTAGAAGTCATCTAGCCTCAGGCCCTTGCTAGGCAGATGCAGTGCGCGAGGCCCAGGGAGGTATAGTAGATGAGTCAAGGTCTCGGGGTTGATGTGGAGGTCGTCTCTGCCCAGCAGCTTCTGGGCTTGGGAGATCTTTATAGTAACCACCACATCCAGTCCTGAGGGTTTGCCACATGCTGGTGCTGCACAAAGTGCTCTCTGTGCCTGCCCTTGTTTAATTCGGAGAGCAGGTGCCATTGTCAGTGTTATTACTGTGTCTTTTTACATGTGAAGAAAGAAGGCTTCGAATAGTCAAGGTGCTTGCCCAAAGTCAGATGCATAGTATGTTGCAGAGCTGACAGGGCCTCTGGCTCTGTGTGAAGGTCATGTTCTCTCCTGCTTTGTAGAGTGTACAGGAGCAAATAGAGCTTATGAGAGGCAGCTGCTTCTACATCTTCCCTCTGAGTGTAGGGAGGGACTGGCCTGCTTGCCTTTCTTCCTTTCTTTCATTTTTAAGTTGTGGATATATATAATATACATATAAAATAAAATTTACCGTTTTAACCATTTTTAAGTATACAGTTTAGCAGTATTAGATAATTCACATTGCTGTGCGACCATCACTACCATCCCTCTCTAGAACTTTATTCTGATCTTTCCAATCTGAAACTATACCCATTAAATACTAACTCCCCTCCCTTATCAGCCCCCGGCAACCACTGCCTGCTCTCCACCCCTATGAGTTCTACGACTCTAGATATATGTCCTTTCGTGAGTGGCTTATCTCACCATAAGGCCCTCGAGGTTCATTCATGTTGTAGCACATCAGAATTTTCTTTCTCTTTAAGGCTAAATAATACCCCATTGTATGTGTATAGCACATATTGTTTATCAATGGGCTGCTTCCACTTTGTATTAGTCTGCTAATGCTGCACTAGGGCTGCCATAACACAATACCACAGACCAAGTGGCTTAAGTGACATTGATTTTCTCACAGTTCTGAACTTCCAAAAACAAGGTGCTGGTAGAGTGGGTTTCTCCTGAGGCCTCTTTGTTTGGCTCGTGGATGGCTGCCTCCTCAGTGTGTCCTAATATGACCTTTTTTCTGTGCGTGTGCCTCCCTGATGTGTGTGTATGTGTGTGTGTCTGTCTCTCTAAGAACATTAGTCATATTGAACCCTAATGACTTCATTTTACCTTAATTTTCTCTTTAAAGGGTACACCTACAAATATAGTCACTTGGGGGCTAGAGCTTCAGTGTATTAATTTAGGAGAGACATATCTCAGTCTATTGTGAGCGTTGCCATAAATATGGGTGTGCAGATGTCTCTTTGAGTCTCTGCTTTTAATTTGGAGGTATATAGCCAGCAGTGGAATTGCCAGGTTTTTTGATAGTTTTATTTTTAATGTTTCTAGGAACTGCCATAGTGTTTGTTTGCTTGTTTGTTTGTGTGGTAGCAGCTATACCATTTTACAGTCTCATGGCATTATTTCTTAATTTTGTGGAGTTTTGCTCTTTTTGAGAGGTCACTCTGATTTCCAAGGTCCCCCAGTAGGAAGCTGGCCTGGAATTGTTCTCTTTGCCCCTCAGATATTTGGTTACCACTCTTTCCAGAAACTCGGTGCCCTTGCTCCTTCTGCACCTCCTGTCAGCAACCTCGGGCTCTTGCTTCCATGCTTAGCTGCGGGGAAAACACCCCGGAAAGGAGGAGGAAGCAGTGAAAATGGCCTGGTCTCAGGAAGATGCTTCATCCCACCTGCAGGCTTTCAGGCAGCAACCCCTGAGCACAGAGGAGGCTCGTGCCAGACCTCACCCCATCTCCGGGCACACAGAGGAGGCCCCTGAGCCTGCTCAGGCACGTGGCCCTTTCAAAAGTGGCCAAAAGACAGAAGACGTAAGATGTTTCTTAATAAGCAGCTTTAACACTGCTGCAGGTTCATATCACCTCACACCAACAGAAGGAATTAGGGCATGTACGGCAGCAGTGGGAAGGGGTTGGCATGTGGGGAGATGTTGGAGGTGGGTACTGATGTGAGGCAAGATATAAGGGTCTGAGGGCTGGAGGGGGTGAGTGGGTGTGTGAACTACGGTGTGAGAGTGGGAGTTGGGAGTGGGGGGTGTGGTGGGTAGTGCACGTGTGTGTGTGTGTGTGTGTGTGTGTGTGTGGAACAGGGGATTGAAGGGATGATTGTGAGAAAGGAGTATGTATATAGAGTGCAGGGGAGGTATTCGGGGGTTAGAGTGTGTGTGTGAAGTGGAATGTGGCAATAGGGGGGTTAGGCCTGAGGGCATGGAGGGTGGGGGGAAAGGTGGGTATAGGATAGGGATGGGTGTGTGTGTGGAGCAGGATGTGAAGGTATAGCAGTTGATACTCAGGTGTGTGGGCAATAGGATATGCGGAGGGTAGGGCGAGAGTGTGCGTGGGTGTTGGAGGGGCACAGTAGGGGAAGGACCCATGGCTCCACTCCAGGTAGCCACCCTGCCAGGAGCTGCGGGGGTGGAGGAGCTGCTGAGGCTGCAGAGCTTCCCAGCTGCGGGGGAGTAGCGCCTTGCCGGGGACTCAGGCGTGACTCACTTTCACCTGGTTGGGGAATTAATTTGCTGGGCATCTGCATCATGGCAGGATATGTGCGTCAGTCTGTATGACTTTGTTCTTGTTAAGAACCATGGGAGAAATTGAAAATGAGGAATGGAGGGGGTGGGGTGCAGTCATGCCGAGAGCTATGAAAGATAAATTGCTTCTCCCTCAGCGGCTGGGTCACACTAAGTGACCGAGTTCATTTTTTTCTCTCCCTCTATTCTGTTCTTGATAAAAGCAGTTGCAAACATTTTATGTGAGAGAAGTAACTTCAGAAGCCACCCCCCCCACACACACACCCACACACAGAGATGCAGACACAGGCGCATACCTCCCACATACAAATGTAGATAAGGGAGCCCCAAAGCACCTCCCAGATGCCTGGTGGCCCCTGCAGCAGTAACTCTTTGTGCACTGCGGTCTGCTGCAGTCTTTGCAGTGGAGGGACGCTGGCTCTTGTGAATGGTCGCCTGGGAGGGGCCTAATGTCATCTGCTCCTGATGTCAGCACAATGAATGAAACTCAATGCAAAGCGTAAAGCCTCACGCACCCGGGAAGCAGAAACCTTCTCGGATTGGTTCCCTGGCTGCAGCGTCTCTTGCTGACGAAATCACTAGTCCCATGTGTCACAAATAATCTGTATACGTTAGGATTTAAATGAGGCACAAACTGAGGCTGCATGTGGACTTTTGCACAGCTGATTCTGGTGCAACCATCCCTGGCTGAAGCAGCTGTGGCCACGACCCTCTTCCTCCCAGGTGCTGGAGGAAGGGGTTTGCAGGACCTGCAGACCCGCTGCTGTGCGTTAGCCATCTCCTCAGCTAGCCTGATGTTCTGCTTTTGCTGGCAGAATTCCTTGCTGAAGCTCCAAGCCCTCGAAACTGATCTGTGCTCTGCATTTTTGGCAAACCAGGAAGAAGCTGTTCAGGTGCATGGAGGCAAGGACCCAGCCCCCGCGTCTACCCAGAGTGTGCCAGCCGAAGGGGACGAGGCTGCAGGTAAGAGGCAGGGTGCGGGGAGCTCCTCGTTTGTACTCTGGAGATAGTTTAGCCTCTTGCTGTTTCATCCTAAACCTGGCCCCTGGTGTGAAACAGTGCTTGGTGCAACATGAAAACTGAAGAGTTGAGTTACACCCTGGGGGGGTGGGGCGTTGGAAGGAGCAGGAGGAATTAAGATGTGCTGTGTCATAGAGCCTTCTCTTGGGGGGGGGGACAAGAGTCAGAGGTATGTGAATGGGTGTCAGGTGGAAAGCACCCATCACTACTCCTAGTCCTCATTTTCCTATTTGGTATCGTTTGGCAAAAAAAAAAAAAAAAAGAGGTGTACTTGTATTACAGTGCTAGACTTTGATAATCTGTGCTTAAAACTCATGAGTTTTGAAACTCATGGTATGTTTGAAGTATTGAGGAATGGGTTTCAACATTGCTACCTCCTTTCTTCTACACTACTTGTAAGATGGTCTATCAACGCAGGGAAAGTAGAGGTGAATAGTATAGCTCATTCTGATCCTGCATTGCCCTGTTCTTTCTCATTATTTTTTAGCTTTAATTTCTCTACTGAAAAGTCTCAAAATTGGGTGTTATTTGTCTTAGTTTCTCTAGTTTTAATCCAGGGGGTGATTGGTTAGCTAGCAGGCAGAAGGGAAGTTAATGCTACCAGGAAGACTCAGGAAAGAAACACTGATTTACATGAGTAGAAGTGAGAGCACAAATTATTTTTTTTCACACAAATGGGTCAGAGGTCTGCAGTCTGCTTTCTGGATAGATAGATGGTGGAAACAGGCTTAGGTGAGCTTGCTTCCTGAGATGTTCCTTATCTCCAGGAACTGAAGCAAGAGATTTACAAGGTAATCTATTTTAGTACCATTAGTGATAGTTCATTTAAGACATTGCTGTTAAAAACAGACCCACATGGTATAAGCAGGCAAAATACTTATCTCTAGTTTTTGAATGCTTGTAAGTAACTATAACCACCAGTTATAGCTATTGGTGGTAGTTACTGTTATCATTGAAGACTTTCTCTGATCCAGGCACTGCTCTGTACATTTTATACATATTATGTTCAATTCTTATGCTGACCTGCAAAATAATGCTATTCGGAGTAAGGACACTGAGGCCCAGCGTAACCCTGCTAGTAAGCGGGAAATTGCTTCCCCACGATGCAGGTGGCCAGCTGGTGAGCTCCCCTGTTGCCTGGTGAGCTCCCTTGTTCTGTTGGCCATTGTGTTTGGATGAGAGGCAAGTAAAGTTGGACAGGAGCCAATGTCAATCCAACTAGGGCCTGAAGTCAGATTACCAGACAATGCCCATCTTCTTCCGCCAACCCCACGAAACAACATACAAAGCCTACAGAGAAGACTCAAAGCCAAATACAAATTAACTTTTGAGTTATCTGATGTTTTGTATACTATACAAGTATCTGGAAAAGAGTGTTTAAATAAGATATGGATATATGTATGTTTTTAATTGTGACCTTTAAAAGGTCAGGAATCGTTTGGCATTTTCTCATTCTAGATGGACAGGATTGTGACCAAGCTAACTAACACTCCTTGTAAAGGAGTTTATGTAGGAATTGCCTGTGCAAAGGAACTGTCAATATGTTCCATGTTAGGTGTCAAATGGCAGACATGGGCAGAAGGCTCCTTCCAGAGGAGGCTCGTGGGTTGGATGCTGGGTTTTCCAAAATGTGGGTGGATCTGAGGTGTCTCAGAGCTTCTCTAAGAGTCTGTGAAAAGGGAGGTTCTGTCTGTCTTGGTCTCGGGCTCCCTGTGTGCACATGTACAAGCGCAGCCCGCGGCAACAGCTCGTGCATGTTTTCAAAGGTAAAACCCATCCTGGTGTTTTTCATCTTTGTAAAGCTTGTGCCAGCCGTTTTTAATTCAGGGCCTGTGATTGGGTGTCTGGAGTGAGCTTAACACCTTGGAACTTTACTTTCTTGTGTGTGTCTGTAAATTCCCAATGAGAGTGTGACTGCATAACATTAACACAGGTGGGCGTAAATCTATAAAAGATTATAGTAAATTAGAATTTTTCTCTTAAAGTCTAGCATCTAGTCCTGAGATTTACATGTATATTAATATTCAATTAATAATTGTTAATGTCAGTAGTTAGTAACAAAGAGAAAATCCAAGTGACTTTTACAGGAATATCTGGCTATAACATGCTACCAATTAACTATTAAAAGTGGACATTCATAAGTATAAATTGATGTTACTTCAATGGATTTCAAACTTATTTTAGACTTTATTAGGGCATGAGTTGAGTGAAGTTTAATTTTTGCATTGGCTATCTGCGATGATGACCTGAGCCAAGTATTATCATCTCTGTATCTTGAGATCAAAATATTGATTTATAATCTGGATTTATGGCTTACAAAGGTCAGTCTCACCTAGTGAAAGACCTGAAATGCTCCCTGTTCTAGAAATCCACTTAAAAACTGCACTTGCAGTAAGAGCACATGCCATGGCAGCCCTGGAGGGCACTGTGCTCCAAATAGTGTTCCTGAACCTTCCTGCACATCACAAGTACCAGGAAGCTTTTCAAACATGGGCGTGCTCAGTCCTCATCTCTGCATGGTCTGGTGGAGTCCTGAAATCTTTATATTTCTAAACTTCCTCTCTACTATTGGGAGGCACTATTCAAGTGACAGTGTTTTGAATTAGGAGAGAGAAGTTAGGGTTCTCTCAGGTTTTCTTTGGCTCTGCTTCACCTTAGTGTCACCAACAAAAAGCGGCTTCTAGAACACAAGGGCTTATATAACTCAAGCTCTGGGACCAGTTGGCTCAGTTCATAGAAGAGACCATTTGCGTCTTCCAGGAAGAGAGAAGGACTCAAGTACCCAAGCCTGCAGGCCAGAAATTGATGGGGTGCGGCCTGGACAAGGGATGGGGACAGGGACAGATTTGAGAGGTATAGAGACTCTGAAAGAAATTGGATAGAAAGGAAACCAGCTGAAAGGCAGCTTTGGGGCTGCCCATGGGGTAACCGAGTACCCTGATTCATCCAGGACTGTTCCTGTTTTAGCACCAAAGCTCGTTCAACATGCTGGGAAATCCTCAGTCCCAGACAATCTGGGCAGCTAGTCACCCACCTGTAGGTTGCCAATCACATACAACACTTCCGCTCAAAACCTCTAAATGAACTAACAGCCTCTTAGAGCTAATGCAAATGTTTCCTGTGTGGTGTTAGTAAAGATCTATTCTAGTGTTATGAATGAAAATGAAATGAGGATTGTCTTTTTAACTGTTTGTCTTCAAAGTGCACATAGGGACTGTTTGGTGTTTTATAAGACTAAGCATAGTAATGCCTGTTCTGTCTGACCACAGGTAATTGATGGCACGGAGTTTGTAGCAAAAGCTGTCGCTGGAGATAATGGAAGGCTTATTACTAGAAATAATAATTCCTCAGAAGTACCTAATTAATTCTTTTATTCTAAAATCTTGATTTTTCAAGTTGAACTTTCCATTTTGGCAAGGGCTTTGCTGCTAATGTTGATTATCAGGCAGTGTTAATGTAGTGTATCTATTTACAGTCTGTAATTACTCCCTTGGTCTGTAGGTGTCTCCTAATGTTGAAGTTGAGGCAGAACAGTCAAAGAGGACCTTCTCTCTCAATTTTTAGACATTGTCCACCTGACCAGAAGTTCCCAATCACTTGGAAGTACTTACTATACTTACAGATGTCTGGGCTGCCAGTCTTAAAATGCAAAACTGAAATATAAAGATGAGGCCTAAACATTTCTAGGTTTGAAACCCTGCCCTGGTGATTCTCGGGTGCAGGGAGCTTCAGGAGCACTTTCTAGAACATGGTGACCCCTGAGGGTGCCAGGAAATGTGTTCTTGCTCCAGGTGCAGCTTATGATTGAACTTCTGGAAACAGGGAGTGTCTCAGGTACCCCACTAGATGAGTCTGACCATCCACATGACTTGATGCTTTATTCTTTCTAGCAGAGGCCTCAGATAGTCTTCGAAAGTCAGTAAGAGGTGGTCTCTATGAATTCAACCTCAGAAGTGCACAGAATTTCAATATCTTTTAGAAACTTTTTTCATTATGGGTCTATGTGTGTGTTATTTCTAAATCTTTCTTAAACCTTTTTATACTTTCAGTATGCAACACTGGTTGCTTTAAGTAAAAAGTGGCTCCTATTGTGAAAAATATCTGTTCTTTTTGTCCTAAATTGGTTGCTTTAAAAGCAGTGGCTTTCAAAAAGATCAACCAGGTTGGTTTTACCTGCCTTGGGGATATCGAGCAGTATCTAATATACTTGGAAGGTGGGTGGTGCTGGCATCTAGTGGGTAGAGGTCAAGGGTGCTACTGAATATCCTACAAGGCCCGGGGTGACCCCTTTCCCCCACTGTCCCAGTAAAGAATTATCTGGTCCAAAATGTCAATAGTTTCAAGGTTTAGAAGCATTACTTTAAAAGACTTTAAAGAACATCAGCATGAGCTAACAATGACCTCTTCATTTGCGCCTGGCCTTGCCACATGGATTTTCTCATTTTATCTTCAAAACAGTTCTATGAGGTAGGCGGCATTATTATCCGCAGATGAAAGATGAGCAAGTAAACTTGCAGGGTTAACGTGACCCGTTGAAGGTCCCACAGCTGCGGAGGTGTGGCAGTGGGAGGAAGGGCGAGGAGTCAGCCTTTTCCCCATTTGGACTCCGTAGTCTGCGTGCTTCACACGATGGTATTTTCCGTTCAGTCTAACAGGGAAGTCCCCATAGTCCTAATATTCTAGAATTTGACATTAAGCCCATAGTCAGCCTGTATATTGTCTACACAGCTAATGTGTTTTGGAAGTCTTTTTTTTTTTTTGTCTTTATCCATCCCTAGCCTGGTTGTGTCAGACTGGAGAGACCTGGATTTGTAGTGGATTATTAAGCTGTCGCAGCCCCTCTGCCCCGTAGTCATTTCAGCTCCTCTGATCTAAGCCGTCCCTGGGCCCGGTGCCTTTCTGGGTGTGCATTTACCTGACCTGCATAGTGTATTCCAGGTGGA